GTTAATCATGAGTTTTTAAAGAAAAGGGAAATGTTAATTATATATTGTAAATTATGTGTATTTGAAATAATCAGTTTTATAAGGTCACATAACAGGTATTCTAAAATACAATTGTTCATAAAACACAGGATCAGAGCTCCTCTCCCTCCAATTGGGATGATGTGGAAATCAAAAACTGACTGCAGAGTTTTCATATTTCTACAACTAATTATGAAGAAATTTCAGTAAACAAAGGCATACAAAGTATCTCATAAGAACCAAAAATGCTGATAAAGAAAATTCCTCCAGATATTTCAGAATACATGAACTAAAGAGGAATTGCCTGATAAGTGGACCCAATGGTATTTTGAAATTACAGAAGGATATCTCTCCTCAAAGTTATACTTAAAATTCTATATTCCTACTAATTAAAATGCGCCAAAGGAATCATAGGAATTGCCAGTGTGCTTTCTGCTCTAGAAGATTACCACTAAACAAGATACTTTGAACCAGATCCCACAGAAAACAATGTAGTATCAATGGGAAAGCAGCATCTTTATATTGACTTCAGGGTTGCTAATGGACAGCATAAACCATTAAATAAGGAATAGTTTGAAATTCAGATATGGCTGGTGAAGCTGATTATGGCCAAGGTGCATTGTTCATTCTCAATCCAATAGTTAGAAACAACACAGGGGCTAAGACAGGGGTGCTCAACCTTGGAGAAAGTACCAATGGAATGGGAGCAAATTGAAAAATATCACCGCTGTAAGAATTTTCAACTTGATTTTGCTTAAAGTGGAAATTTTGGAAAGAATTAAACCTTAAAGCTCATGTTCAGGGAAATTTTGAATATGGAAATCCCACTCATTCACATAAAAAACCCTCCAAAGTACTTTTTTTATCTGACTCCACCACCATGTAAGCCAGTGCAGCATGATGATACACCACTGAAAAGTGGTTGCCACCCTTCCTCCTAACATCATTATACCACCACTGCAGTTTTCGGGAACATGAACAGCCCAAAAAAAATGGGTGTCATTGTCCACTTTGGGACCTACGCATTGTAGCTTTACTGCTACAATTCAGCGACTCTGCACTGGATGATGTATATATACATGATCCAGGACTTCTGGGTGGGGCGGGCATGCGTGCTCCCTCTGACCCAGCTGTGCTGTCATTTGCTATATCACATGCCGATCAGGTCTCATCCAATGATTCATGGACGGGACCGGATGATCAGAGGAGCAGAAGACAGAGATTGATTTGTATTGGTAAAGAACACATCTCTCTCTACTGACAGTGGCAATGTACCCTAGTTTGTCTCCCTGCAAAGCAGGGAATAAAAACCGGCACATTGCTTTGTAAAAGCACCACACAGTTAACACATTAACCCTTTTTAGGCACACAGTTAACCCTTTGTGTTTGCCCCAGATGTTAACCCCTTCCTACCCAGTGTCATTAGTACAGTGTCTGTGCACTTTATCAGCACTGATCACTGTATTAGTGGCACTTGTGATGTTATTGTCAGTTAGCCAGTGTCAGATTGCCCTCCATACTATCACAGTGCTGCTATAAGTTGCTGATCTTTACCATACTAGTATAAACTAAAAACTCCAGTATATATACTGTATCGTCATTTGTGGACGCTATAACTTTCATGCAAACCAATTAATATACACTTATTGGGATTTTATTGGCCCCTATTTCCAGCAATCTTGGAGTTTCACATGTATATATGATTGATGTACAGCCTGTTGCACAAGTTTTCATCTTTTATATATTTCCCCACTGTGGTGGTGTACCCCAATGTGCATTTGCTATTGATACAAAAGACCTATGAGTTGTTGCCCCTATAGCCCAGCACCATTTGCGGCCTGCCATGATGTCTCTCTTTTTTATTTTTTATTTTAAGGTTGTCTTTTGTATTGTCCATTATTGAAGCGATGGCTATTTGCAATCTTGACTCAATTGTCTTCTATGTGCAACTTTGCCAATAAAGCATATCTCTGATTAATATTTGAGTATTGCATTTTGTCCTTTATGTAACTGCTTTTCTTTGTGACTGTCTTTTCATTGTTTTTTGCTATACTGTGCCCTTACCCTCTCTCTTTGAAGTTTTGAGTAAGAGTAAATAAACTCTTTTGTTTTGCATCTAAAATGTGACCAGCACCCATATTACATGTTGCTCCACTATACCCGAGGACTGCTCCCTGAAGTGAAATGCTAGCCCACCCTGTCCCTGGGGGTTCCACTAGCCTTTGAGGTCAGGGGGTTGCTACAATACTGTTTGCTAAGGTACTAGTTTTTTCTTATTATATAAGTTTAACTTTGATATAAGAAAAATAGGTGTTTGGTTTTTTTTTTCCTTTTTGCCAGCAAGCCTGGCTCTTGAGGATCTGTGGTTCTGCTTTCTTATTCTCTGCATCTCATAATTAGCCCCACTGCACTGCATCGCATTCATTTGATTGCTCATCCAATCAGGATATGTATGCATTTATTCCAGATGATAAGCATGCAAATACAGATGAGCAAACACATGCAGAGATTTATGCCAATGCATGCAATGTAACGGTGTGAATGAAAAGGGGTATTAAGTACCTTTATGGGTGTATATGATTGGATGATAATTGTAGAACATTCTTAGTTGCTTGGTAATCTGGCCTAATGGTTGATTTGTATGAAGATATTGGGGTGCAGGAATAAATATCTGATAGTGACATTGGGTGGTCATCTTTTGTGTTGCTTCTGGGGGCTTTTAGAGAAGATCCTGTCAAAAACTTGTTATTTATCACTTTTGCGGATTAGTGTCACTATTTTCCTTTGCCTTTCCATGTGTAATTCCAGTAGCTACCAGCAAGTTTCTCTCTGCAATTATTGAACTTGTCCACTCAATCACCACAGGAGCCTGTGCCATCAGTTACCACCTGCACCTCTGTGTTCAATCACGTCCTGAGCCTGGCTGTAAGGAAGTTCAATGCTGCCTACACCCTTTAGGCTCCATGCACACTGGTCGTTTGATAACGCTGGTAACGTTAGCTGTGTAAAGTCATGTTAAAAACGTGAGTTTTTCAGCTTTTTTTAGTGTTTTTGCATTAGCGTTTAGCTGTGTTTTGATGCATATAACAGTGTTTTGCCGTGTTTAGTGGCATTTTGCCACATTTTTCTGCGTTTGTGTTTTTTATCATTTTTTCTACTAAAAAATTTTTTTTGTTTAGTCAAAAAACGTCCAAAACTGCTGTTTTGCCGCGTTTTTCAGAGTTAGAGCGTTTTTACAGCTAAAAAAACTCTAGAAATCCAAAACTCCTGTTTTTTTTTTACAGACAAAAATGTCCCTGCCAAAAAACGTTGATTACAGTATATGTGTGCATGGATACATAGGATAACATGCAGGGGGGTTTACTGGCTGTAGAAAAAAACATCAAAAGCCAAAAACAGCAGCTGTAAAAATGTCCATTGTGCATGAGAACTTAATGAAAACTCACGTGAAAATGTTTGTTTGGATTTTTGACAATACATTGAGAATTGCTGCTACATCCATTGAACCAGATATTGATGCGTTCCTTCATCATAAACAGTGTCAAATATTGCAATAGTTTTGTTGCCCTCTTTTACTTTTATATAAAAAAAACTACAAAAAATGAAGTTTTATTACTCAGATAGGTACGTTATCTATGTCAGTTGTCACTGACTTGTGATCTGCCCATCTTATCCAGCTCATCAGTTATTGTTAATGTATTTTATGTGTGGCCCAAGACAATTCCTCTACTTCAAATGTGGCCCAGGAGAGCGAAAGGTTGGACACCTTTACTTTATCCTGTGCTACAGCCTTCCCCCTTTCCTCCTCCTCTTTACCCAACCTTCTAATTGCTGTAGCCACTGTTACCTGACCCAGTCTGTTCCAGTCCTTCTTAGCCCTGTTTTTGTTTTCTCCTCTTAATGTGTGTCTTGCTGACTTGTATGTTTTATTGCACTACTTATTTGTGTTCCTGTTTGCTTGTTTTTTGCATAATTCATTACTATTTCTTTCACCATTGTTTGCTTTTTCACATGCTCACAATAAACTCCAGTATGTTGTTTGAGCTCCTCTTTGTTGTGAACAAGTCCTTTCATACCAGTCTCAACAAGGGTCCAGTTGCGTTCTTTTCCTACAAATGACTAGTGAACTTTACCAGCATTCTTCTCCTATGAGCAGGGAATCTAGAATGTTGTAAGCAATAGGTCATGAAGGTGCACTCTACAAAGTTCATGTTGCTTGTCTCCATCTGTGAAAGATGCTCTTACAAGTTGTTGAAGTTCAGTAAACGTTATTCTGGTAGATGCCTTTTGTCCACATCTGAAACCCACAGGCACCTGAACAGTGTTGCTGCATTACACAATGCTCACTTGCTGCTTAGCCTCTAAGCTCCTTCTGAATGTTTATGGTCTCATTTTTGTAGGTTCAGCAGCGTGAAATAACATTTCACTTGAGAGGCAAACACAACCAATTGACCTTTTCATAGTACAGGAAGTTTCCAGTGGCCTAAAGTAAGTGTACCACACAAAGTGTGCCATGGTGCTGAAGTAACTGGTGTCCATGGTTGACTTTTGATGCTAACTTAATGCAGAAAGAGTGGAGTTTAGAGTACTACCCTTTATTGGCTTCTACATGATTTACACAATTCTCTTAAAGTGTTACTAAACCCACAGCAGTAAAACCAGTCTGTATATGCAGTAAAACATGCTTGTTATACTTACTGTGGAACCTAAGGAGTTAATCCTCTGCATTTTGTAAAACCGCTGTTTGATCCTGACTTCTCTGATCCTCCCTTTCTTCCAGTGTCCCCTCTTATCTCCTGATAAGACACATCGTATGGAATCACTCTGAACATGCTCAGTTTGGTGTGTATTGCTAGAGAGGTTTTTTTTTTTTTTGGAAAGTGCATGTGATTAGCACAGGGCCAATCAGCACTGTCCAGACAGAGGTCAGGGGTCCTGCATCTTCCTAGAGCAGAATGAAAACTCCTCCTACAAACTTTAACCAGTCCACTGAAAGAAGTAACAATACTGCTATATACTGCTGATGAGAAAAGGTAATTAGCAGTTTATATTTACTAAAATATCTGCATTTCCATGTTGTGTGTACTGTGGGAGACCAGATATAGTGAATGCAGGGTCCAGGGTTTAGTAACACTTTAAATGTTGTACTAAAGGATAAGTGCACTGTAAAGTGGTAAAGTCTTTTTTTATGTTTTACCTACCTTATTAAAGGCTTACCTGTAGGTACTGTAATTATCTCCTAAACATACACCTTTTAGAAGATATTTACTTTAGCAGCGTCGGTGATGTCACGCCATCCATTGAGAGAGCTGTGCCGCGAGCGAGACTCCTGTGTGTATGCACGGGAGTGACGTCACCATGGCACAGCCAGTCAGAAGGGAGACCGGGAGAAGATGGAAGCCCTAGAGAGCAGTGATAGTGCTCCACTGGAGGGCTTCGTTTTCAGGTAAGCCTTTTATAATGTGTTAGTATGCAATGTATTCTAGCACATTATGCTGTTAACTTTCAGGGAGAAGATTTTTTTTTAGACCTATTTTTTTGTGGTTTACTACCGCTTTAAGACAAAGTGCATCCATACTTTTAGTCCCTTTGCCCTGGCCTATCCTGATCCATCCTCCCCCTCCACAGATGTATACTTTGATCCGATATCAGTGGCCTCTGGAGTTTGTTGACATCCAGCACCTCAATTCTCACTTTCCTGGTTATGCACACACATAACAGCCCGCATCAAATTATATGAGAATGTGTCCTGGGGCCAGACACTTGTGGTATGTGGAGGGGCAGGGTGGGTTAGTTTAGCTGAGGGAAATGGGTAAAAGGATAAGTAGACTTTAAAGAAGACAGTCTATTGTGACACACACAATTGTTTTTACATACAGTATTTCTATATATACTGTATATATACTAAATCGTTGTAAGTGATGAACTTAAAAGTAGGAAGTATTTTATGAGCTGAAAAGCAAAACTGTTTCTCTTTGAAAATGATGTGGACTCACCTCATAAAATGCCATAATTATCATTTATTATTTAGCTTTCTTTAGCACATGTATGTGATATACGCTTTACCATCTGTATGTGAAATAAACTCCACTGTTTTGTATTCTGAGTCACATAATGTCATAGATGCTGGAACACTCTGTGATCGCAGGTCTGGTCAGGAAGCATATATATATATATATAATGCCTGGAGTGCAATCTCTATCCAGCCCAGCCAACCCCCTGATGCCATCCTCACCAGTTGGAAGTTTAAAATAAATCTGCATCTGCTCTGTGTATTGCTGTCTCTGGGACATTACCAACTTCCTCATTACTTCCCTTGTAATATATTGCACATTTTTAAATTTTGTTTTCTAATAATGGCTGTGATGCCTGCCTGGCTCTGCACTGTGGCAGATGTGGGTAAATCACATGACTGGTTCTAGACAACTGCAAACCTTTGACATGAAAAGCAGTATGCATGCCTATTTAGTTGTTTGCCTTGAGTCTAACTTTAACCACTTTACAGTATGTTATGTATAGCTTGCCACCAGTGATGTCTCTAAGAGCTGGTTCACAGCAGATGTAGTCTAGTACTGTGCATCCCATGTATCCCAATGGCCCTAGTTCACACCAGTGCAGTCAGTTCCAGTCACTTTCTGGTGCAGAAAAAAAATTAGAACATGCTGCATTTTTTCTGCACAGAATTATACTGGAACACAGCAAAATGCATCAAAATGGAGTGTGATGTGAACTGTAAGCAAAACTGCATCCAGAACACATCCGGAGTGGGTTTTTGTAGTGTGACCTGCCCCTAATATTTTATTATGTGGATTTTTTCTGCATGTGCACTTTTGATCTTGTAGTGGCAGATTTAAATGCCAAGACGCATGTGAGTCCTCCCTGCGAACACCATTGCAGCTTAGGTTACTCTGAATTTAATGGAATGTATAGGCAATGAGGATGGAATTGAGAAATATTTTTGTTAAATGCTTGATATTTTCTTTACTTTTAGCTCCTACTCTAGAAATGCTGTTCTGAATGCCTAACTAATTCAAATATCCTTTATGAACAGCCATAAACAGATCTGATATTTTTTTGTAAATGCATCCAAAAAAATATATTGTGTCAGGTTTTCCTTTTTTAGCACATCAGTGTTTTACAAGAACTTATTTGCATAGGTTAGGATTAATTAATCAAAGTCTAGTTTACTTCATTTACCTGCTGGCTTGACACAGTAATTGTAACTAGAATTTCTATCGGCTTCTCTTGTGTGAGTAATATCTATGGAGGTCAGTCCAGGTCATTGCACGCTAAGGCAGCTATATTATAGACTATAGAATTATTGTTAGTTAAGAAATCAGATGCTAACTGATTTATCCATTGCCAGACATATGAAATGATATAAAATGACTACCCCTTAGCCTAAAATGTCTCACCAGAGCATTTAAGTGCCTAGTGTGAGTTGAAATGGAATTTTACCCTCTACAGCAACTTTACATCATTTACCTCGACTGGCCCTGTTCCTGTATTTTTGGGGAATGCAATTTCTAACTTAAGCCAGAAAGGATTTAGAGTTGCCCACAGCCTCCTGGGATACCCGTGTCACAGGTCCCAGGAGGCTGCAGGTACACTACAGCACATGCAGGGTGACACTGGGGGGGTGGCAGCTCTCTATTCATGGTTTTTGCTGCCACCCATGCTGCCCAGCTGAGAAGAGACAGCTGGTCCCACTGGTGAGGTCAAAAGAAGACATCGGCACAGGACCGGGTGTGCTGTTTAGGGAACACTGCTGCATCACCAGGCTTTTGAAGGACAACCTGACCATACAGGCAAGCAGGGAGGGGGAAAATACAAAGAGGGGGGAGTTGAATTCCTCTTCAAGAGTAAAAATTGTACACCCCTTGAGGGTTAGGGACTGATGTGAATGTACAATATATATGTAAAGCACTGCATAAATTGACGGCGGTATATAAGTACCTGCAATAAATAAATTAAACAAAATAAAAATACATTTCTAGCTGGCTGGCAGAAAGGGCTCCACAGGGATCAATTTAATGATGAACACAAGCACTTACAGATAACACAAAGTGCCTAGTTTTCCTGTTACTTTAAAAACCAGTTTAGGGCAGTTCAGATTCACTATAAGTGCCCATTTATAACTATATGTATGTGCTAACGTGCATTGCAATGCATAGTGTTGCTTTTTGCTATTTCTTTCCTATGAGCCTTAACATGATTCAATGCTAAAAACATATTTAAAGGGTAAGTTAATCTTTTGTAACATGTTACATCTGTATTTGGGGTGTAACATGTGACATGTTGCTGTTGCAGCAGCCCCCGGCCACCCCATCCCCTGTTGTAATAGAGGGTTGGGAATCCTCTTCCTGCACCCGCTGTCACAATTTTAAAAAAAGGGTCTCTGCCCACCCAGCCCCGCCATTCATGCACAGATTTCTTTGAATGGGAGAACTACAACTACTGGCATCCATTGCAGCTGACGTCTTGTAGTTCTCAATGATGCTTCCTGTCATTCAGTAACTGCCTGCCTATACGAGGTAAGCACAGGCAGCTACACTGACAGTCTGCAGGAGCCTGAGATTGTACCTTTACAGGCTCCTAGTAAAATAAAAACAATAAATCCACATATTTTTTTACCTGAAAAAAGATGTACATTTATTAGTATTTTTTCTTTTACAAATGTGAACTTATCCTTTACAATGTAATCGAATAAAAATAAGAACATAAAGACAACACAATATGCTTAAAGCGCATGTAAACCCTAAATGAATGATATTTAGTTAGCTAAAGCACTGTGTATCATAAGCAATCGGCATGTTTTTGTTGAATAAAAAACTGTTTCACCTTTTCCCACCCTTTGTTGCTTCTCAGTGCTGCTGATCTCCTGTAGCTTTTTTGCAACCTCTTCCTGTCTACATGCATGCAGTTGCACAACTGCTGCCTGTCATTTTCTAGACTGCTTTTCTGATAGTAACAACAATGAAGAATGCCTGTACAATGTGCATTGACACTGCTGATTGTAGTCCTAAATGAGAGAATGTGTGACAGGGTGACAATGCAAAAGAACAATGGGAAACGGGAACAGAGTTGACACCCTATAACAGGAAGTGCCTGCACATTAACTGTTCTAACTTAATCACCAGATATTTTTTTTTTTTCTTTAAGTAGCAGATTTTTTAAAAATATTGAAAATTGCTTTTGAAATTAACCATGTTAAAGCTTATATGTGGTTCTAATAATTGAATTTGCATCTACTTTAGTTTAAAAAAATATAGTGAGCTTAAGGACTTCAGCATGTTCCAGACATGACAGCAAGTCCATAGGTTTTGTTCATGTCAAGATCCAATCAAATCACCATTCATCTTCCAGCTGTGTGAATGGGCTAATCGGTAGCTTGACCTTGAAAATTACACAGATTATTCCTTTTATTTCCTTAGTGTGAGTTTATTAAAACACAAGTACCATTATTTCTCCTTTCACACGTGTACAGCCTTTTGTGATTGATTTTATAACCAGTCACGTGGCTTTCATATCCAGCTGTCACTTTTACACAGGTTTGCAGTCCAGTAAGTTTTATGGATGCCAATATTTCTTCAGGATGAGCCATATCACATACTACATAAAATTGTCATTTGTGTAATACCAGAAAATTTGTTGTAGACTATCCTATTATGTGAGTAACATTTCTCTGAAAGAGAGATGGATATCCCAGTTTCAAGCAGAAAATAAAAGTAACACTTTTAAGCTGAAAACTTTTTTCACTTTTTTTTTTTCACTTAAAGTAACAGTGTTATGGAATGTGTATATATAATGTCATGACAAAACAAGCTTTTACGTAACCAGCACTTTAAACTAATGTCAGCATAAGAAGGTTGATTTTAAATGAAAACTGTAATTTATTTTAATCTACATTAGATTGTTTTTTTTCTACATTTGATGATTTTAATATAATAGTATATACTGATAATTGCTGCTTCATATTTTCTAAAAAGATTTTTGGGCGCTCTCCTTACTGGCTCTTTATGTCCATCCAGCATTGTTGCTTAATAACTGCAATGAAAAAGCTAATTGCAAGAGAAGTCACCTAGAGGTTTGGATGGTTTTCTAGTCTGAGTTTAAACTCAC